TCCCTGTCCCATCCCCATCCCTGTCCCCATCCCTGTCCCATCTCCATCCCCATCCCGTCCCATCCCCGCCCCGTCCCTGCCCCTGCCCCCAGCTCCGTGGCACCCTCGGGTGTCCCCCCGGGGCCGGGGGCTGAGCCGGGCTCCCGCAGGTGCACGCGGCCCCGCAGCCGGCAGCGAGCCGTGGTGCTGGCCTGGGAGCGGCAGCTGATGGTGGTGGGCCACGCCTCGGAGAGCATCCGGTATCCTTTGGGGACAGGGGACACGCCGCGGCTGCTGCCACCCCCTCTGGCACCCACGCGGGGCCTTTGCTCTCCCATGGGATGTTCCCAGCCCCACAGGGACTCCCAGGTCCTTTTCCTCTCCCATGGGATGTTCCCAAGTCCTTTCCCCATCCCATGGGATGTTCCCAACCCCACAGTGGCTCCCAGGTCCTTCTCTTGTCCCATGGGATGTTCCTGCATCATTTTCTGTCCCATGGGATGTTCCCAGGCCCTTTCCCCATCCCATGGGATGATCCCAGGTCCTTCCCCATCCCAAGGAATGTTCCCAGGCCCTTTCCCCATCCCATGGGATGCTCCCAACCCCACAATGGTTCCCAGGTCCTTCTCTTGTCCCATGGGATGTTCCCAAGTCCTTTCCCCATCCCATGGGACATTCCCAACGCCACAGTGGTTCCCAGGCCCTTTCCTCATCCCATGGGATGTTCCCAACCCCACAGTGGCTCCCAGGTCCTTCTCTGTGCCATGGGATGTTCCTGCATCATTTTCTGTCCTGGGGAATGTTCCCAAGTCCTTTCCCCATCCCATGGGACATTCCCAACCCCACAGTGGTTCCCAGGCCCTTTCCTCATCCCATGGGATGTTCCCAGGTCCTTTTTTCTCCTATGGGATGCTCCCAGGTCCTTTCCCTGTCCCAGGGGATGCTCCCAGCCCCACTCTGGATTCCAGATCCCTCCTGGGAAGTTCCCAGGTCCTTCCCTTGTCCCATGGGATGTTCCCAGGTCCTTTCCTTTTCCCAGGGGATGGTCCCAAGGCCTTTTCTATCCCATGGGATGCTCCCAACCCCCAAAGTGGCTTCCAGGCCCTTTCCCCATCCCA